TGATTCACACAGATGCACTTTTTCACTGGAGGAAGCGTTATTATGGATTATGGACTCAATGTATTTTAGTTAAAAAGGTCTTAATGCTGGATTAGTTTCAGTTTTTGTCTTCTCCAGATCTTAACTGATGGACTGGAGTGCTGTGGATTACTTGTGGATTATTGTGATGTTTTTATCAGCTGTTTGGACTCTCATTCTGACGGCACCCATTCACTGCAGAGCATCCATTGCTGAGACACTGATGCAATGCTACATTTCTCCAAACCTGTTGAAGAAACAAACTCATCCTGATCTTGGATGATCTGAGGGTGAGGATATTTTCAGCATATTTTCATTTTTTGGTGCACTATTCCTTTAATGCCTTGAAAATACTATTTTAAAATATTTCTATTTTTAAGGGGGATTTCTCATCAAAATGTCATTCTTAAATATGCATCACACAGATAATGTATTTCTCAAAAGTAAATGTTTAATTCATGATAAATATCCCTAACCTGCTAAAGAACATCTCTCCAATCATGCTTATAAAATCAATACACTTTACCCATAATGCATCACTCGCAGCGCTCTGAATCGACACACCTGCTTCTCACCGTCTCCAACCCGCACAAGTGGCTCATTGTTGTATTTAATAATGAATTATCTGTAAGCAATTCAACCTTGAAACTCTAAAGCAGCTGACATAATGCAGCAGTCTAGTGCGTTACTTCAGTTTTATTATTTTTTTAAAGGAAAGCCTATCACACACACACACACACACACACACACACACACACACACACACACACACTCAAGTGCACTTACCTCCACGTATAAGATAGGAAAAAACCCGATCTTATCTCCCAGCATGCCTTCTGCCCAGTTATCGTCCACTCTTCGTATGACGGTGAGAATCTCGTCCTGAGAGAAGAAACGCACAGTAAATACATGCGCTTTCACTGTTTTATTGTAGCGCTGTAGAAATTAATTGACGAGTCATTGAGAGAATAAACAAGTAAATCACATCCTTATATGTGTCACATTTTAATATTCAGAACAGAGTGAGAAATAAATCAAACACTGCATATCAAATTCTCAGATTTTTATTAGCAGTGCAATCTCACTTCTGAGTGTGTATAAAGAAATAAACAGTGTATGTGGAAAATTGTTTCCGCCACGGAAACGGTTAAGGACTTTTATCTCACAATTGCATATTGTTTGTTTGTTTGTGTTTATTGTATTTATATAGCACATTTAAAACAACTTGAGTTTGACCAAAGTGCTTTACATGGCATAGTAAACAACAAGACAAAAAATAAAATATAAAATAATAAATAAAAATTATAATATCACAAAGAAAAAACATAAAACACTTCTTAACTCGTTGCAAATCGATCAAGGAGGTGAGATTTAAGCATAACTTTAAAGATAGATAATGACGAAGTTGTTCAGATGGCAACCAGGAGATTGTTCCAAAGTGCTTTAGTTTGGAACTAGAAATTGATAAAATTCCTAAAAACCTAGATCCGAGCGGTCTCACCGATTTGTGTGGGTGCAGCAATTCAGTGAGATAGGTTGGTGCAAGATTATGAAGTGCTTTAAAAACCAATGTTAAAATTTTGTATTCCTGGCTGCTGCATTATAAACCAATTGCAATCGCTCCACATAAGACTGATTTATCCCATAGTACAGCAAATTGCAATAGTATAACTTAGATGTAACAAATGCATTAATTACTTTTTCGAATGTCTATGTTAAAAGGAGAGTTTTAACTTTAGCCAGACGGCGGAGATGAAAGAACATGACTTGACCACACTATTTATCTGTTTGTCAAACATTAGACTGGAGTCAAATAAAACACCCAGGTTCTTTACACATGGAGTAATCCACTGGGCAAGATAACCAAGATCAAGGTTATAAGCATTATAAACAGAGCATCACTAGGTCCAAACAAAAGCACTTCGATTTTACCTTCATTAAGTTTCAAGAAATTATTCATAAACCATAATTTAAGTTCTTGAATGCATGCAACTTTTCTAAAGCATTTTATCACCAGGTTTAAATTAAAGATACAGTTGTGTATCATCGGTGTATAAGTGAGACATATAAGTTGTATAAGACACATATAAGTTTATAACAATAAAGCAGACTTGACTTGACTTGACTTGAAGTGAAAGAAAATTCCATATTTCTTAAAAATTGAATCCAGCGGCAGCATATAAATCATAAAAAGAGTCGGGGCAAGAATCGAACCCTGAGGGACACCACAGGTCAAAGGAGCACTGGAAGATGTATATTGTTCTGCATGCACAGAAAATTTTTGGTTCATAATAAATGATATAAAAGGTAAATTAGAAACGGCTAAAATTAGAAAAAATCGATGTGTCTGAATTTGGCTGTTTTTTTAATTGGTGTTATTAAAGCACATTTCAGACTATCAGGGACTATTCCGGTGCTTAGACTCAGATTAACAAAAGTTAACACATCAGAACCAATTATGTTTACAAACTGCTTTGCAAAGCGTAACCTCTAATAACTTATAAAATTTCTTATAACTTGCAATTGCAAGTTTAAATCTCACAATTCTGACTTTTTTCATTGAATTCCTTTGAGTTTACATTTTGCAATACATTTTTTTTGCAATAAAAAATAAAAAGGTCATTGTGATTTCAGCTGTAAAGCAGCTCTACAGAAGAAAATTGTCATTATTCAGATCAATTCAGTTTAATAACAACATTAATGTTGTAAAATTCATCAATTATGAAATGCTAACTGAAAAAATAAACATTAACAAATTTAAATAATTTAAAATTAAAATGATTTAATCTAGTTGCTAATGAAAAATGTATTTAAATTTACAGTAGTTTGTTTAAATTAATCTAAAGTTAATTTTGTTTAAATTAATGTACTAAACAAATACAAATTTATAAACTATATAGACATAAAAAATACTACAGATGACAAAAACCCAACAAAATTACTAAAATGAAAATTAAAAAGAAAATGGAAAATCTAGAAATAAAAACTGATTCAAAAATATTAATAAATGATAAATGTATAATAGTATTTCAATGATATTAGAATAACGCTGAGCAGCTTTACAAAATAAAATATTGTTATTACTCAGATCAATTCAGTTCAATTTTGATTCAACTCACTAACAGTTAAAGTTCAGAAACCAAACTGACTCACAGTGACTCTGTACATGAATCTGAACGTCATAAGGCATTAATATCTGTATCTTTATGAACGTGACTCGGTTTATAATGATCAAACCGAAGCCAAAGCAACTGGCCTTATACAAATAACTAATTTGAATAGATTTACATCAAGCTTCAGTTCACCGAGAGTCAAACCTGACTCAATCAAGTGTCTATTAAGGAGTGTTTTAGCATGCAGATGCTCGTCTGTCTCTCATCCGCCTGTCCTTCTCCTCTCTGAAAGGACGTTCTTGTCTGTATTTCCAGGACTCATCTTTCCGGTTCCTGCCTCTGGAGGACAGAGGCCGCTTGTGCAGTAATGCATACAGACGTCTGAACGCTGCAGCTGCGCGACTGCGACTCGCAGACGATGTGAGGAACATACAGAGCACAGACATGAAGAGTTACATAAACAAAATAAACATTAGTGCTATCAAACGATTAATCGCGATTAATCGCATCCAAAATAAAAGTGTTTGTTTACATAATATATGTATGTGTACTGTGTATATTTATTATGTATAAATAAATACACACACATACAGTATACATTTTGAAAATATTTACACGTTTATACATTTATATATTCATATTCTTATATTTTATATTATATATAAATATATTTACATAAACATATTTTTCTTAAATATATACATGCATGTGTTTGTAATTATATATACATAATAAATATACACAGCACACACACATATATTATGTAAACAAAAACTTTTATTTTGGATGCGATTAATTGCGATTAATCGTTTGACAGCACTAATAAAAATATTACTACATAAACAAAAATCTAGAAAGCTAGACTAGAAGCTAGATTGGTCTTTTTCAGAGAAAAGAAAAAGGAGGATCATATATAGTATATACTGTAGGTGTGTGTGTGTGTGTGTGTGTGTGTGTGTGTGAGAGA